GCTACTTTATTTATTTAATAAGTGTACTATTTTAGCTACATACTTAAAACTATTATCTTTAACTAAGAACTTTAGTTTATATCTAATTTTTAGTCTAAATTTTGTTAAATTTTAGGTATAAAAGTTAAGCTTTTTACTACTTATTATAAGAAAATAAATAGCTAAATAGAGATGATAAATAAGTATATTAATTAAAAACAAAAGCTTTTTATATTCTTTTACTAAGATAACTAAAGTTTCTTACTGCCTCTAATTAATTAGGCTTAGATAACTTTGCCTTATATAATAATTAAAATATTTTTATATCAAGTTTTATATAGCTTTAAACTATGTTAAAGATAGAACTAGAAACATTCTACTAAACCTATTACAGCTATAGACAAGTTAAATTATAAAGATGCTCTAGTATTAGCAACCTACATACACGCAGCCTAAGTGTTAGCTAAGTTCTATATAAAGAAGGCCTAGGATTAGATGTAAACTGTAGTTAACTACTACTACTAGCTAGTTAACTAGAAGGATAGTAACATAGTCTACCTAAACACTAAAAACCTAGCTGTTTAAAAACCTAGCTATAAACTATCTAAGTAATAAAAAGGCTTTTTTAAAGTACTTAAATAAGTTAAAAACTTATACTACTTAAAGCTACTACTAGAGTTAAAAATACATAATATCTTTACACTAAATATACTTTGTAAAGACTTCTAAGATCTACTTCTAAAATAAGAACCTTTAAAACCCCCTAGAAGTACTATTAATAAAGTAGAGAAGTAAGAAGTAAAGAAAATATTTACTAGTAAGCTCTACTAAAAAACACTTAAGTACTAAGTAAAATAAGTAAAACTCAACCTTAATTTAGTCTAGTATAAAGCTTTAAATTTTATAAGTTTTTTTATAAACTAAAGGCTTTTTATAATAAGCATTTAAATTAGCTAGAACTTTTAAAGGCCTTATAATGTACTTCACAAGCGAGTTGCTTACACACCTAAGTTGCTTACTTTTGCTAAGAGCCTACCCTAACAAACTCTATTATAGCCTATAACAACCTGCTCTAACACTATATAGTACAGTACAGCCTAGAATATTATTTAGATACTACTTCTACTTCTTACTTATACATTTATGTGTTATGCCTAGTCTAATTACACTATCTGTAGCGCCTTTAGAATAGCTTACCTACTTTAGCTTACACCTGCTTCTTTACTTTTTTTTTATTACTACGCGCTTTAAACTTCTTTAAAGCTATTAAGCATAAGCTTTTTTAAATTATTAAGGTTTTTTCTACTTTAATCTACTTTTTATTATGTAATTTATATTATGTAGTAGCTTTATTAGCTTTTTAAAGCTTAGTAATTTTCTATTATACTAATACTAACTTATGTATAATTATTACTACTTTTTTAAAACTTTTTTAAACACTTTAACTATAAAAGTTAGTAAACTATTTATATACTTTTAAATTTTTATCTTTATAAGCATTAATTATAACTTAAGTTTTAGAGTATTACTTAAAGTTAGAGTTACTGTTTACTATAGTAATAGTAATTACTATTACTAGGTAAGTATAGTAATTACTATTTACTAAAAATAGTATAAAAGTATAACATAAGTCTTAATTAGTTATTTAAAATTTATAGCACTTTTAACTTTATTTTTATTAATTTACTTAGACTACTATCTTTTAATAAACTAAGTAAACTAAGTAAAATAATTTAACTAAATAAACTAATCTAACTAAATAATTTAAATAATCTAAATAATCTAAATAACTTAAGTAAACTAAGTAACTTAAATAAGCTAAATAATTAAATAACTTAAATAATTTAAATAACTTAATGTACTTTATAGGCAAGTTGCTTACACACCTAAGTTGCTTACTTTTGCTAAGACCTTACTACACTACTTTTTTTACACTAATGTATTTCTAATAACACTACTTAGATGTGTTAAAGGAACATTAGATATAGCTTATACTTTAGGCTTTTAAATAAAACATAATACTTTCTAAGTAACACACTATAGCTATTTATAAGGTTTTTTAAAAAATAATAAGTAACTAACACTCTAGATAACTTTTTTAAGCTAATTATATAGCTAACTTATAAAAGCTAGATAATAATAAAAAGTAGGTAATTATTTAGCATATACTTAAGCTAGATACATAAGAATTTCCCTTTTAGCTAGCAGCTATAGCTAATATAGCTAATCTTTTACACGCTAAGCATAATATAAGCTATATTAGCATAAACTAGCTTAATATGTTTATTAAGTGTTACCTAAAGCTTAAAGTAAAGTTTAAGTATAAGTATAACTATAAAAAAGCTTTTTATAAAAATTTTATAGTAATTTAAAGCTAGTTTAACTTTATAAAAAATATTAAAGCTAAGTATAGCATTTAAAATAATAATATATATAACTTTAATAAGATAAAGTTTATAATAGGCTAAATATCTACTAGAGCAGTTATTATAAGTTTAGAGAGATAAAGATAGCTAAAAGTAGCCTAGCTAAGTAACTAAGAGTAGACAATAGCTATCTAAGGCATTAATACTAAAAAGTAGGCTATTTTACTTTTTATTATTTTTTAAAGTAGCAACTACTTTTTAAACTAGTATAAAAAAATTTACTTTAAAATTAAGTTATTATAATCTTTAAGTATAGCTAGACTACTAATTAGCTTAGTCTAGACTAGTTAAAGCACTTTAATGCGCATATAAAAAAGTGTACTATTAGCAGCTACTATTTACTAGTTATTAGTAGCTATAAAAGCTATAACTTACTTTATTTTTAGTAATACTATAAAAATAATAAAATTATTACTATTTATATACTTTTTTACTTATTACACCTTTTATAGCTACTTAATGTAGGTTGTTTTACTCTTTTAAAAAAAGTATATAAGCGCTAAGCTAAAAACCTTATACATAACTAAATTACTTATATTATAAAAATAAAGTTTCTACTATGCTTTAAAGTAGCTTATAATGCTGTAATTACTTTTAGTAATATTTAAAAAAAGTTTTAAGGCGCTAAATTAGTTTCTTTTAACTTATAATAAGTTATAATAAGCCTTAATATAAAGTTGCGCACTCTATTACTACTAACGTACCTAACAGGTTGGCTGGCCACACAGGTTGGCCAGCCACTTTTGCTAAGCCCCCACTAAACTCTACCTATCTACATAATGCCTTAACAACAACACTAGATTAAATTTTCTAAATAATGTTAGATACAGCTTACTTTTTAGGCTTTTAAATAAGACTTAAAACTCTTCTTACAACACGCTACAGCTATCTATAATGTCTCTTACACAACACTAAGTAATTAACGCGCTAGACAGCCTTTATAAGCAGAATGCTAGCCTAAATTAAGGAATCTAACTAAGCTTAAAAAGAAAGTAGTTGTTAAGTATATACTTAAGCTTATAACACACAGATTTCCCTTTAGGCTTGTAGCTATAGCTAATATAGCTAATTCCTTGCCTACAGAGCGTAATCTAGGCTAGGTTAGCTTAAACTAGACTAGTATGTAAGTTAAGCACTGCTTTAAGTTTATAATAAAGTTTAATTATAAGTATAATTATAAAAGAGTGCTTTATAAAGATCTAGAGGTTATCTAGGGCTAGTTTTGCCTAGTAGCTAACATAAAAGCTAAGTATAGTATCTAGAATAAAGATAAGTATAACTTTAATAAGTTAAGCTTTATAATAGGCTAAATATTAACTAAAGCAGTTATTACAGCTTTAAAAAGACAAAGACAGCTAAAAGTAATATAGTAAAGTAATAAGAAGTAGATAATAGTTATCTAAAGCATTAACATAATAAAGTAGGCTATAAGATTATAAAGCTTTAAGCAGTAAATAAAGCTGCTACATAACATAGATTATATAAAAAGAAGCAGATTTAGGCAAAAAAGACCTTAATAGTTAAGAATAAGGCTTATCTAACTACTTTAAAAGAGTTTAGAGCGCGTAGTAATAAGAAGAAGCTAAAGACATAGGTGCGCGCTAAAAAAAGTAAGCTAAGTTAAAGGCAATATAAGTAGTGCAATTAAACTAGGCATAACTTGCGTACATGTAAGTAAGTAGCAGAAGTAGACTCTAAATAATATCTTATGTTATATTACTTTATACAGGGCTAAAGTAGGCTGTTTTGCGAGAGAATAGGGTGGTTTTAGTGGGGGCTTAGCAAAAGTGGCCGGCCAACCCGTGTGGCCGGCCAACCCGTTAGGTACGTTACTACTTATATATAATAAGCCCTAGTAGTTATAAACTCTAAGTAATACCTTAGAACTTAGGTTATAATTAATGCTTATAAAAGTAAAAATTTAATAGTATATAAATAGTTTACTAACTTTTATAATTAAAGCTTTTAAAAAAGTCTTAAAAAGAGTAGTAATAATTATATATAAGCTAGTGTTAGTGTAATAAAAAATTACTAAGCTTTAAGCAGCTAATAAAGCTACTACATAACATAAATTACATAAAAAAAGTAAATTAAAGTAAAAAAAACCTTAATAATTTAAAAAAGCTTATACTTAACAGCTTTAAAAAAGTTTAAAGTGTGTAGTAATAAAAAAAAAGGCAAAAAAGCAGGTGTAAGCTAAAGTAGGTAAGCTATTCTAAAGGCGCTGCAGATAGTGCAATTAGACTAGGCATAACACATAAATGTGTAAGCAAAAAGCAGAAGTAGTATCTAAATAATATTCTAGGCTATACTGTACTATATAGTGCTAGAGCGGGTTATTATAGGCTATAATAGAGTTTGTTAGGGTGGGGTCTTAGCAAAAGTAAGCGACTTAGGTGTGTGAGCAACTCGCCTGTGAAGTACGTTAAATAAACTACATAACTTTAATAACTTTAATAAACTAGATAACTTAAATAAAAAAAATAACTAAAGTAAAAGAAATAACTAAAATAAAGAAAAAAATTAAAAAAATTATATTACTAAAATAAACTGTGGAGGAAAAAATAGCCTAGCAGTAGCTGTTTAGAAGATTAGATGAAGTGACTCTGCTATCTAAGAGAGCTGAAGGCTCTCCTTATATACACTGAGCTTCGGAACATAATATCTCTAGATCCTAAGCTGCGTCCCAGGCTCTGGGCCGTCAGTCCCAGGCTCTGAGCCCCCAGTCCCAGGCTCTGGGCCCCCAGTCCCAGGCTCTAAGCCCCAGCCAAGGCTCTCAGTATCCGCGACACACCCCCCAGGTGAGCTGCTGCGCAGCTCACCTGCGTTAAGCGTTAACTTAGCTTGTTAGAGCAGCGCTGCGCGTTTACCCTGTGTTTATGCTTATTACCCTAGGCAGCGTAATGCTTATTTCCTTAGGCAGCGCAATGCTTGTTTCCCTAGGCAGCGTAGGTCACATCCGTGCTGTGATTACTGCAACAGAGGTAAATAAATTCTTTTACTTCTTAAGCTTCTTTTCTATAAGTCTAACTAACATGCTATGTGTAAGTTAATGCTTTTAAGAGCTTTAAAAATAAACTTTAAACTTATTTATAATCTCTGCTAACATGCATCTGTAGCTTAATAAAGCTAAAAGAGCTGCCTGCTTGCGTGCCGCTGCTCTGCGGGGCCGCGTTGCCCGCAAGCCCGCGCCCACCACCCCCCGCCGGCGCCCGCTCCCCGGCCTGGCCTCCACTCCCCGCTGGCCTCCCCCTAGTGCGCTCCGCGCGCAGTCCTGTCTAGGCTGCATAAAGAGTGCGCTTACAGGGCGCTCTAGTAGAGAGTGCTATAATTCTACTACTAGCAGTTTACACTGCTAGCGCTGTTCCTCTAGGCACAGCTGCCTGCCCTTATAAGCCCTGTAGCAGTGTGTAGGGTAATCTAGCTTTTAACCTCTTTATAGTCCCCCTGTTGCTGTTGTTTATACACAGCGCTTTATTACAGCGCTTGTTGTAGAGGACAAGCAGGTAAGCTTCTCTGCAGAGATTGTGTGTTATACCTTAGATTAGACTAATAAGTTATAGACTATGTTCTAGCTTTAGCTAGTTCTTTAAGCTCTACTTAAAAAAAATATAGTAAAAGAAAAAAAAAAGTAAAAAAAGTAAAAAAAAGTAAAAAAAGTAAAAAAAAGTAAAAAAAAGTAAAAAAAGTAAAAAAAAGTAAAAAAAGTAAAAAAAGTAAAAAAAGTTAAAAAAGTAAAAAAGTAAAAAAAAAGAAAAAGTAAAGTGTTATCTCTTTTAGGCTCCTAGCGTGTTACTAGTGCGCTAAGAAACTTTTAGGTAAGCTTATTAATCTTCTTATAGTTTAGGCGTTCTATGTTTTTACACATCTTATGTACTAAATCCCTGCTTAAACTTTATAGCATAAAGAAGTGTCTTTACTAGTAAATAAAACTTTTATTTTTAAGTAGTGTAAAAATGTCTTTACTATTAATAATTAACACTTTCTTTTTTTAAAAGCTTATTTATGTGTCTTTAAAGTTAAAAAGCTACTTAAAGTGCTTAAATTACTATTTTAGTAAGTGCTTTATAAGTTTATCTGCTAATATATTACTTATTTTAATATAGCGCACTTTAAAAGATCTCTTTATGTGCTTCTAGCGCAGCCACATGTTCTAGATATTAATATAGTGTAAGTAGGTAGTTATTTAGGTCTTTTTTTCTACTACTAACTAAATTATCTGCTAGTTGTTATAGTAGATCTACTATAGTATGCCTAGCTCTAGAGTAAGCTCTTTAAAAAAGCGTTTTAAAGCTAGTAATTTTTTTATTATATATGCTAAAGTAAGCAGCTTAGCTTTTATTATAAACATAGTTACTATTAGCTAAAAAGCTGCTTTCTATAAAATTAGTTTTTTAAAAAGTAAAATAATGTATCTATAAAATAATTATCTAGTCTTTATATAATTAGTAAAAGACATGTCTTTATATATAATAAGTTACACACCTTCTAGTGCTTTATATTATATGCCTGTATGCCTTGTGCAATATAGGTACACAATTGCCTAGTTTACTGCCTAGAAGTGCTGCTTTCCTAGGTTTATTAGGTAGTAGAAGAGCTAGGATGCTGCAAACACTATATTAGGGCGCACTATAATTATAGTGTAAAGTGTTAATCCTACACGCTCTTAGTATTTCTTAATTTTATGCTTTATTACTAATCTCTAGTTACTTATAAGCTCTTCTAATAGTAGAGAAGTCTCTAGAAAAAGTAGTAAGGTAGTTAATAATCTTTTTACTTTTCTTTTTATCTAAGTTATTATTATATAACTTCTCTTTTTTTTACTTTAGTTTACTTTTAAATTTTTAAATATATGCGCTTACTTCTTTACATGTTAGAGTCTTATTATAAAAATTTTTATATAAAGAGATGTACAAGGGTTTTGCATAAAATTAATTTATATAAGAATAATTTATTAACTAATATTTTTTTATAGCAGATAAAGCATTACTTTAATTATATAAAAAAGTGTAATTTAAATCTCTTTAGACTTTTTCTATATTATTAAAAGCTAATTATATAAGAGAAGTTATATCTCTTATTAGTATAGTATATGTCTTTTAGTTTATTTAGGCATACATTATTCTGCTAATTAATTACAACCTAAAGTGCTAAACAAAGGTTGCTGTATAGTGCCTTATATGTAGGCTTAATTAAAAACATTACCTATTTAAGTTTAAGTTATCCTTAGCATGCTTATATAACAGCAGTGTAAAGCAGTATCTTGCTTTAAAATTATAGACTAAGAGCTTTTTATATAAAAGTAAGCTTATTAATTATAGCTTTAAAAGCTTTATATAAAGTTTTTATAAAGTTCTTTTACTTAATTTATGTAAAGCTTATTATTATCTAATCTATCTAATACTAGTTATAATTTATGTTAGTATTAAAGTAATTACTAAGCTGTTTATATAGAACCTTCTATGTCTTTCTAGGACTAATATTATAAAAGTAGAACATATGTGCGCAGCCTTTAAAGATATTAAGAAAGATGCTTATATATAAGGCCTTATAAATAATAAAGTGTTAGCAGAGCTTAATAAATACTATAGCCTTATTAGCTAAAATATTATATAGTTGCCTTATATAGTTGTTCTTCTTTCTTTATGCCTTGTAGAATTATATAACCTTCTTAGGCGCAAGGTTCTCTGCTGTAATATCTTATATAGGTAAAAGTTAGTATAAGTTATACAGTAATTACATTATATATAGTAAGTATAAGCTTTAGAGAATCTTGTGTAGAGCTGTAGCTATAGGAATATATAGCTGCTTAGTTATACTCTTATATAGTAAGCTATTACAAAGTAGTTATACTAATTATAAAAAAACTATTAGGTCTGTAGGTAATTTATATAAAGACATTCTTTATAGTGTTAGAACTAGCGCTAGTAGTAATAGTTTAGTACAGTAGTCTAATAAAATAGTAAAAGCATGTTTTTTTTATAAGTCTATATAGCATAATAGCTTCTATTTTATTTTTCTTAAAACTAATGCCTTTATTTTATAAGGTAGTAATTAGTTTTTGTAAAAATAGTTAGCTAAGATCTTTAAAGTGTATAAGCTTATACTTTATAAAGTTATTTTAAAAGTTTTTAAAAGTTTATACATTTATTGCGCTTAATGTGTAGAGTTCTATAATTAAGTTAGCTGTGTATAAATTAAGCTTTTTTTAGGTGTGTTATTTAATAGTTTAATCTTATTTACTTAATTCTTAATATTTATCTACTTTGCTAGAGTCTTTACTAAAATGCCTACTAGAGGTATGTATTAATTATATGTTAATACGTTATATTAGCTAGTTAGAGATAGAGCTAGTGTTGCTTGTTGCTTTATAGTAGTTAGTTATGCGTTGTTGCGCGCTGTCTTACTTCTTGTTGTACGCTACCTTTAAACACCCTTATGTAAAAAGATAAAACAGACCTTCTAGCGTTAAATAAGCACTACTATTTGTATAATACCTCTAAACAGTAGTGTACAGACAGGTTTCCTGCTCTTTATTAAGTAACTAAATAAAGATTTATAGCTACTTATATATAAATTAGACTGTATCTTTACTCTTACTAATTTATAGTTAAATTAGTAAAGAAAAGAATATCTTTTATACATAATTCTTTAAATAAAAAGGTATAAAAAGAGCTTCCTGTCTTACAGCATTTAAACTACTAATTAGTGTTAAATAGGCTCTATGCTAGGTATACAAAGTAAAAAGGTTTACACAGTGTACACATTGCGCGCAGGGGGGGGGGGGGTTTGCAGGTAACTTGTGTTGATTCTTCTTGTTCTGATTCTGTGCAAAGGAAAAGAGTATTTATCTGTCTGTGCGTACAACTGTGACACAAGACCATAACACGTGACGCCTAACTGCGTATCTAAATACTGCTATTTAGACAATTAAAGTTATATATGTTATTATTTTAAATGCTATACTTAGCTTTAATATTCTTTATAAAGTTAAACTAGCCTTAAATTACTATAGGATTTTTATAAAAAGCTCTTTTATAGTTATACTTACACTTAAACTTTACTTTAAGCTTTAAGTAGCACTTAATAAACATATTAGGCTAGTTTATACTAATATAGCCTATATTGCGCTTAGTGTGTAAAGAATTAACTATATTAGCTATAGCTGCTAGCTAGAGGGGAAATCCTTACGCATCTAGCTTAAGTATGTGCTAAATAATTACCTACTTTTTATTATTATTTAGCTTTTATAGGTTAGCTATATAATTAGCTGAAAAAGGTTATCTAGTGTGTTAGTTACTTATTATCTTTTAAAAGACCTTATAGATAGCTATAGCATGTTGCTTAAAAAGTATTACATTTTATTTAAAAGCTTAAAGCATAAGCTGCATCTAACATTTTTTAACACATCTAAGTGTTACAATCCTTGCTTTGTGGAAGCACTCGGGTCAATGATATTCCTAGTGAGATAGGACGGGTGGTAGGGGCCAACGGCAGGGTGTACAGTCCTACGTAAAGGCTATTAGGCTAATAGAGGGAGATAGGGTGACCAGATTGTAGTTTGCCCTTAAGCAGCAGTATAGTAGCTAGGTTAAACAGTCCTGTTGGACAGGGTTAGAGGTATATATAGTGTGAATATACAAATAGTATTGCAGCTTATTAGAAAGCTAGAATGCTACTTAGTCTATATAAAAAATAAACTAAATATTAAACATACCTTCTAAAAGTTGTTTAAAGTTAGAACTATATACATGTTAAAGGTGCTAAGAACAAGTAGGATAAGTTTATATAAGCTTGCTAAGCGTAGCTTTATAAACTTTCTTAGACTTATTAGACTTATAGCCTGTCTCCCTATTAGATAACGCATTCTTCTATTACTACAGGTAGTTGCGCTGCTTCTGTGTCCTCTATGTCCTTTAACTAGCCTATAAGCAAGCCCTGCTCTAACCTAGCTAGGCTGTGGAGCACTACTAGTGGAGTTACGCTAGTCCAACTGTAGACTGTAACACGCTGCCCCTTCTCCCTAGCAGCGTCCTTACCCCTCTGCTTACACAACTGTGTTAGTAAGAGTTTATTTATAAGGTAGGCGCCTACCTACTAGAAAGCATCTTTAATACTTATTTTTTTTAAGCTAAATAGCTTATTAGTCTTATTTATTTTATGCTGTTTCTTATTTTAATTTTTTTTATTAGACAAAGATGCAACCTTACAGCACTTACTAATTATTAAGGTTGTTCTACGTGCTAACCTTATTAT